ATTATTATTTTTATTATTATTATTATTATCATTATTATTTCTAATATTATTATTACTGTTATTATTATTATTATTACTGTTAGTGTTAGTATAATCTATTATATATTTATTATGAATTATTATTTTTATTATTATTATTATTATTATAATTCTAAATTACTATTTTTACTAATATTACTATTATTATTGTTCACACAAATTAAAACTGCAATAATAAATTGCACATCATTTAAATGCGTTTTTATCATTGTAAATTTTTAAAATTTTATGATAAATTAATATTAAGAGTCATAGAAGTTTAAATTTAAAAAAAATATCTTTATAAATACAACAAGTAGAAATCACATTAATTTTATAATATTGAACTTAAGGTGTAACTACACTAATTTTATTGAAATGTCACATCCAAGGTGTTCATTTTTATTTTCAATGCATGGCAATAAATATTAATGTATAAAAAATGGGACATGTACCAGTTGCCCTCAAAATTACTTTTTATACCAATCCMCCAAAACTACCTTGAACAAAATCCCCTCCACTAAATAAACTAGTTGCCCCCAACCGAATGTACCACAATCCCTCATATGTTAATATATACACAATTACAATATTATAAACCATGTAAAATATCGGGGTTAATAATAAATAAATAATAAATAAAATATGCATAAGCAGTGTAAGCAGTGTAAACGGAATCAAATATATAACTAATCACACACATTTTTAATTAAAAGAGCCAGAATCGAAATTTTATAGATAAATAGAAGAACAAGAATACCAGTAGATTAGATTTTGTAAAATCTGTTTGAAATTATTATCATAACTTATATCAAAGTTTTTACTATTTTTTTTTTTTTTTTTACAAGTTCCATAAAATCCCACATAATTGTAACGCTTATTATTTTATTGACTATTGTTTAATTTACCATTTTAAATGCAATATCTTCTATACATATATATATATAAATGGAATTCTGTCCGCCTGTTCTTTATGCATTCCTAAGCGGCTGGAACAATTGCGACGAAATTTGGTATACAGAGAAATATTAGACCTGTGAGCAGAAGATAGAGCAAGTTAAAAAGTGATAGGCCCAATCCCGAGAGGTGCTCAAACAGACATTTTGAGATTTACGATGGACATTTCTGTTTATAAATGGTTGCTATTAATGATAGTTGCTTATTTTTGTATTACTATTTATTATTTTATACCAAACCGAAAGCAGTGAACGGTAAAGTTTGTGTCACATATCGTGAAGCTTGCCAAGAATTAAATCTTCTGGAATACGATGCACATTAAGACACCTCACTCGCTAATTTATCAAATCTGCTAGACCACAGAAAGTAGGCATTTTATTTGCGATTATATTGACAACATGATTCCCATAAAATCCAAACGATCTTTGGGAAAAATACAAAGACAATGCGTACTGCGTTATGATAGATGTTAAAAGGTATATTTACAATAACGGTATTCTTGATATAAACATGAGGGTTTGTTGAGAATATACTGCGCTCAAGGTAGATGCTCTGAATAGTTCTGGAAGTGTTAATTGGAGTTATTGAAACAATATTTTGAATATTGATTTTTAAATTTATGAACTCTTTATGTACTTCATCCAAAATATCACGAGCAGTTGTATTAATAGAAATTGTTATTCATTTTATTAATTCTTCTTTCATAATAATATTAAAACTAATAAACTAAACAAAAATACTAAACGAGCCTGAGAAGTTACATCAGTATTTTCATCAAGACAAATTGAAAATAAATCTGCTGAAGCTAAATCAGTTTGAAGCTGATTTGATATATCACCACTCGTATATAAAATTCGTTCTTTAACAGTATTTCTATTAATAGGGAAATCTTGAATACGTTTTATTATTTCATTTTTATTCAAAAAATCATGAAATAAAGTATATTTTGATGTCATTAAATAAACTTGTTTTATGTATTATCTATCGGAAACTGGTTTACCATGCTGCGCAACGAACGTTTCCCCAGTCCATCACATCCAGATTTTTTGAAATTTTTTTTCATTACTATTTAGTATGGAATTTGTATGAATTTGTACGACAAAAATCAGAATTTGTACAAGTTTATTTATTTATTATTTTAAAAAGAGAAATACACGCCTTGAAATAAAATAAAAATTACCTAACACTATTACGATCCATCTTGAACATTAAACGGCAGTGATGGGTTACATAACCATTAGCGGTCATTTTATTTACCTGGTTATCTAAATTTGTTCATACATCATGGTTTATCATTTATACTATTAATTTTATAGGACGCCTTATAAAAATGTTATTTTTAGTTTCTGGGAGAGCTGGGAAACGTCTGATGTGGAAAAGCCGTTTTTTTCGGTTGGAGGTAATTTTGGGAAAAAATCGCGAATGGTCGTACGAATGCATACAAATTCCATACTAAATAGCAATAAAAAAAATTTTCAAAAAATCTGAATGTGATAGGCTGGGGAAACGTTCGTTGCTGCGTAATATATTGGGGTACCGAAAAACTGGCAGCTGTTAAATTATTATTTGGTTTAAACACAGCTTTAAAATTATTTGGTCGAGTTTTAAAACGTTTCAATTTTTGAGAAATTAATTTCAACTTTTCTTCAGTTGATAAAGAAAATATGTCCGTATGGAATTGTTTCAAAAAGTCTTTTTACATTATAACAGCGACTAACTACTGTTTCATTACATAAACAGCATAACACTTTATAATTTTTTTGAACTACGCCATAATTATATAAATTGCCGTGCTAGTTCCCACGAGTAGGTACTTGTATGCATATAATATATATAATAATAATAAGAAGAAGAAATGCTTATTCACTACTTCTAAGTTAAATGGTTCAGAACAATACATAAAACTATTGGACCCAAATAAGTTTACCTTTACTAATAGAAAAAAAATCAGACCATCGTAAGAATACTATGGTCTATATCATACAAAACTTAAGTAGTATTTATGATTAATTAGTAAATTAAGGACTCATAAATGTCAATATATAACACCAGATGTCTGTCCAGAAAACATTTTCAGTATAATTATCCCTTTTTTAACTTTTAAAATATACGTATCTTTTTAAAAATATTTAAAACTGGTTGATACGTTATATCAAAATATGTAATTTTATTTTTAAAATATAATATTTTTCTGAGCACTGTTTAAGTTGAAAAATGTATCCACATTTCCTGCATATCTTTTTGATTTTATAGGACAAAACTACTGCGGCCCATTGGATAAAGAAACTAGAACAAAAATATATTTTAATTTTGAACTAGATGGCGCTCTTAGTACCTATCGTGCGTATTTTATAATAATATTTAAAAAATATTATATTGTTTTAAATAGTTTTAATTAATAATTGTTAAACTGAATTACTTATTCTGTTGTAATATTTCATTAAAAGTTCATTGAAGTATGCATAATGACTAACTAACTGAAAGAAATATTGTGTGTATAAAAATCGTATTTACGCAAAATATAAAGTTGGTTTAAATACTTTTCTATTTTTTAACTATTTTCCGATGCATATTATACATTAAAATTTTAAAGATTAATAATCCATTCCATATAATATTCAAAAAATTTATAGAGCGTCTCCTTTACTAGATAGACAACTCCAAGAAAAGTGGTGGAGATCGTGTCAAAATCCAAAAAATATTTTTATGACTTTTTGATAGATATTAAAATACTTTTCATAACAACATGACACTCGAAT